ATTTGAATATCTTTCGTAAAGGTCAGTATTCCATATTTTATCCTGCTCTTCCAGAATTTTTCTGTTAAGTGATGTAATCTTGTGATGAATTATGTGATATGAATGATATGAATGGGCTGAATGAGATGAAGGGCATTTATAGCCTTTAAAAACAAGTGTGTAGCCCTTCACAAAACAGTCTGTGGTCGCAATGCTTAAAATATGTAAGAAAGAGGAAAAAGAAGATTATTAAAGGAAACCATCAAAACAGCAAAGCAGAGAACATTGATAAGGGGTATATATTACACTGTGGCATTCAATCTTAGCTAAAATAATCGAAGAGCTAGACATACTTATGGTGTTACTCGTCTTTAGAAAACAGCAATAAAGATCTAATCATCTTGGGTTTGCTAATAAGCTCGTATAGCTGAGTTCAATACTGCCATTATCAGTCTTTCAGAATGACCAAAGTAAGGTTAGCGTGGTCCAAAGTGGTCCAAATCTGCAGAAGCTGAAAGTGTTTCATGAAGGTCAGTGGGACTTGGTGTATATCCAGAGCTTTGAGATCAACCCTGATCTGGTGATTGTTGCCACCGACCTTTAGAATCATAGAGTAGTTTGCGTTCTAAGCAACCTTTAAAGATCATCTAGTCCAACCTCCCTGCAATAAGCAGGGACACCTTCAACTAGATCAGGTTGCTCAGAGCCCTGTCTAACCTGACCTTGAATGTTTCCAGGGATGGTGCATCTACCACCTGTCTGGGCAACCTGCTCCAGTGTTTCACCACCCTTTTTGTAAAAATTTTCTTCCTTATATTTAGTCTAAATCTTCCTTCTTTTAGTTTAAAACCGTTACCCATTGTCCTGTTGCAACAGGCCCCACTAAAAAGTCTGTCCCCATCCTTCCTGTAGGCCCCCTTTAAGTACTGAAAGGCTGCAATAACATCTCCCCAGAGCCTTCTCTTCTCCAGTCTAACTCTCAGCCTGTCCTGATAGGAGAGGTGTTCCATCCCTCTGATCATTTTTGTGGCCCTCCTCTGGACCCGCTTCAACAGGTCCATGTCTTTCCTGTGCTGAGGTCCCCAGAGCTGGATGCAGTACTCCAGGTGGGGTCTCACCAGAGCAGAATAGAGGGGCAGAATCACCTCCCTTGACCTGCTGACCACACTTCTTTTGATGCAGCCCAGGATATGTTTGGCTTTCTGGGCTGCGAGCGCACATTGCCAGGTCATGTGGAGCTTCTCATTCACCAACATCCCCAACTTCTTCTCAGCGGGGCTGCTCTCAATCCCTTCATCCCCCAGCCTGTACTGATAGTGGGTGTTGCCTTGACCCACATGCAGGACCCTGCACTCAGCCTTGTTGAACCTCATGAGGTTCACACGGACCCACTTCTTGAGCTTGTCCATTTCTTTCCTTGTAATAGAAATGCATACTGCAGTTTTTAAGTAAAATTAAAGTTGTTCTTATGGTCACCTAAGTGTTGGTATTCCAGATGTGCTAGTGTATTTTTTTCCTATTTTTCCTTTAGCAGCTGGGTGTATTTCAAGTCCTATCAAATCTGGTGAAGCTTCCTTTACTGCAAGAATTTGGTGTGTTTCTTGTTTGGTTGGTTGAGGTTTTTTTTCTGGGTTTTTTTGTTTTTTTTTTTTGTTCCTGCTCTTATTCTCTCGGATTTAAACTCGAGAAATGCAGTGAAAGGTAGAGATGGGGAAGCTGATACTTAATGTTACCGAGAGCAGTTGTTCTAGTCTTGTTAACTACTCTTGGGCTAAGAGTTTCACTTTTTTTCAGGTTCCTGAGGCAGGTGGGCCTTTTTAAAGTGAAAGTGTTATTTTTAAAGTGAAATTTTAAACTGGTTAGAGTTGATGCTAATGTTAGAAGGGATTTTAAAGGAGAACTGTTTGAGTTGTGCTAGGTATGGGATGGGAGGCTGAAACGAGGAAGGGGATGGGGACAGGGCTTTTAGAGGAGGCAATATAGATAATGGATGTGAACATACAGGGACTCAGGTAGTATGCTGTTTGTCGTTCATTTTGTAGGCTAAGTGTAATAATACTAGTGGTGGTTGGTGTTTTAAAATGACAGAGTAACACCCTGAAAGACCTTTGTTTGCTTCGCTTATCTTCTTTCATTTTGTTAAGTTTAAGTGAGTACTCCTACACTAAAGCTGAGATTGGCAGCCTCAGGAAAAGTAGCCTTTCTGAAAATAGTGTTTTAATTTGGCAATTAATAGCAGAAGTGTTTATTTTTCCTCTGAGGTGGAAATCTGCAACAAACTTCGGAGATTTTTTTCAGGGCCAGACAGGGATAAAACCCAGAATTTGCCCACAGTTTCTCTCTTGGCGTCAGGAGGAGGGGGATGCCTCTTGCGGGGTAAGGCAGCCTGTCACCTGCATGGGTGAGCAGGACCTGGGAGCCAGATGTCTCACAAACAGCCCTGTCCACCAGAGAAGCAGCCACAAAGCTAAGGACCTTCTTAATGTGGATTACTAAGAGCCAGTACCCTGAAAACAGAGAGATCCTTCAGTTCTGTAGCAGTTTGTTCAAACAGAAAGCCCCTGGAGACCATAGTGGGGAGCTGAGAGCAGCGATTCACCTGTTCCTGCAACAGATTGAATCCTCTTGAATAAGCACGTTCCAAGGGAAGGGCGTTCAGGCAGAAAACTTCTCCAGACCCTAAATTACATCTGCTGTTTGTTTATTTTAGAATAGGTTTTTCACGAGGGCCCAATATCTCAAAACTCACACTAAATTCTTACACCTGCCTGTTTAAAAGGAAGACTTTGCTCCTTCTTTAAAAGGCAAAATTACTTTTTATTTTCTTGACATGAAAAAATGCCACTGGAAGAGCTTCAGGTTGTGACTGATGAGCGCTAAGTTTGTTTGAGAACACAGTCCTCTCAAGTATATAGATAAAATCTATGGGCCACAGCTTCAGGAGGTGTGTTTGTATGCTCTCAGAAGCAGACAGTAAGTAACAACAGACTCCTGGATGCCTGGTGCCAAGTGACAGCAACAGGGATGATAAATAGCCACTTTCTCTTCTTGTTTCTTTAGAAATTAGTTCTCAAGACTGTTATGATATTCCACGAACGTTTCCGAATGACAGATCTAATTCATTGGAGGGCTTCCATAACCACTTTGTAAGTATGACTTGATCTGATGAGAGGCGACAGTGACAGTGCTTGAATGCTCTTTGTTTGTTCCCATGTAAAAAAGCATGCTGTACAGTGTTTGTGATTTTTCAGTTTCAGTAGAATGTATTAATCTGAGTAGATTAGGTTAAAAAACTCATATGATTCACAGCTGATTGCATAACTTATTTTGTTAAAGGAAATATATGTTAATTCTAGAAAAACAGAAGCATGTTGACAGTGGGAAGTGTTTCAAGTGAAGAACTAGATGAAAATTATGTCCCAATGAATCCCAACTCTCCTCCACGACAGCATTCCAGCAGCTTCACTGAACCCATCCAAGAAACAAACTATGTACCAATGACACCAGGCACGTTTGATTTTCCGTTATTTGGAAAGCAAGTCCCTCCTCCTGCTCACATGGGTTTCAGGTCCAGTCCAAAGACTCCTCCCAGACGGTCAGTACCTGCTGCAGAATGTGAGCCACCGCCAGTGGATCGGAACCTCAAACCAGACAGAAAAGGTGAGGAAAATGTCCAACAGAAGTTGATTTTTATTGTCTAAGAAAGTAACATAGCTCTCCCAACTTCTTATTGGTGGAAAATTATCATATTTTTAGAAATTCTAGCAAAATAGTTTTCATCCTGAGATAGCCGTAACACAAAGGAAACATAGGATTATTTTTAACCGTATTTAAACATCACAATAACAATGCCAAATACAAGCATAGGTTTAAATTTTATTGCTGTAGTTACTAATGAAAAAATGACACAGAATTGCTAGCACTCAGAAGTGTGAGTTTTAGTCCTTGTACACAGAAGACAGCTAGCAGACTTGTGATGGAGAGAGCGCACGCAAGGCATTGGATAGAATACAAATGTATAGCCATAACCATGCTCGGTAGAGGATCAGTACACATTTTCATTGTATGAAGTAAAAGTTAAAAATAACTTATTTAGCTATTTCAGGTATTTGCTTTTCATGTTAACATTGTTAGAAGAAATTGTTGCAACAAGAATGAGTTGTATATTGTGCTGCTTTTCAGTCCTACAAATTCTTACCTAGAATAATTCTTACAAATGTGTTCAAATGAAGGAAGAATTAGATTGAGGAAACAGTGTTTACTATTAAGTAGGTAATGTTAAATCGTCATTTCAGTCTGTAATAGCAAGGAAAATCACTTGCTATTGGAGCTGCTTAATGCTTAAGTGTTAGTGGCCTTATGGGGCAGTCACAGGAAGGTGTTTAACATGGGGGTGTGAGGTTCCCCTATATATTTCCCTTGGGATCCAAATGGGAGGAGGGAACTGCTAATTCAGGCCAGCTTTGAAGATACATTTGCTTTATCACAGGAGCTAGGTGCCATGCTTATGTTGAAATTTGTATAAACTGTAGTCGGTGAAAAACTTCCTTGCCTTTATAGCATGTGATAGATTAAACAAAATCATAACGCAAAAGGAAAACTGGCTTTATGTGGAAATATATCAAACTGCTGAATGTGTGGTAGATGACTGTTACGAGTCTGAGGAAGCTGCAACAACCTTAATGTAAATTTTAGAGGGTCCCTTCAAAGCTATCCTAAAAAATTACTCTCTCAAATCTGGTGCATACTGGGTTTACTTTTCTTTAAAACAAGGATTATTTAGCTTAAGAAACAAAGATGATACTGTTGTGATGTGTCAATAAGAGATACTTGTATCTACTAATAGATAATAATTACTAATAATCACTAATAAATAGCTTAGACTTTCCATTTAGTCTAAAATGTTTTATCAACAAGCCTATCAGTAGCACAGGTAAATGCTTGAGGAACTTATTTCCGTATTACCCATTTTTTCAGACAAGATAACTGACTTTCTTGTAGAAGTGGGAACTAAAGAACATTAGGTCAAATGTCAGCGCTATTTGGTATTTGAGCAAGTCCTGTTTTTAAAATTATGTGCTTGAAAAATTAGTATTTACACTGGGAATGGCTGAATTTGTTTTGGGGAAAACTCAATGGCAAATATTCAGATGATTCAAAATATTCACTAACTAAACATTTAATTTAGTACTTTTACTGCTCAGTGAGAACAGCCTGTAATTAAGTGAAGTAGATAATATCATTATGATATAGAAGATCTCAGTGTAAAATGGGATGTACCACATGTCATTCTGGCTGTCCATCTTCAGAGAATGAGGCATGGCCTTTTTCAAGACCTTGGCTCTCTGCTTGTTTCTATTTGTTTCCGTGTTACCAGACAGTAGTTTTGTTTAGTTCTTCAGAAATACTGGACAGCAGCAGATTGATGAAAGCTGATACTGGAAAATATTCTGAAAATAAACACTGAACTGCTTTAACATATTTTCCCTGACTGGCCAGTTTGTATATTTGACTGATAAAACGTTTGACCTTCAAAAGCCATAAATTCTTATGTCGAAAAGCTGCTCGCTTTTGCTGTTGGCATTGCAAAGCAGTCACACAGATGTCCGCTGGGGCAGATCTCTCTTCAAACTGAATTAGTGTTTCACATTCTAAAAGTGGTGTGTAAGACTCCTGCTTTGCTCCCGTCCTCAAATGCTTTACAGCTAGAAAGACCTAACTAACATCAGGGAAAAAATTTTTGGGTGTATTAACATACCTCTTAATGAGTGTAGAGTGACTGGCTGTATTTTCTGCCAGTAGATTCTTGGAAGCTGTTATCACTGTAGAATAATATGAGTATTAATATAATTTAGAAGATAAAGTAATTTTAAAGTAAAGCTTCCCCAAAAGTAAATATTTTGTAGTAAATGCTTAGGGGCTGAAAAAAACCTTTGGGAAGATCTTGAGCTACCAAGAATGGTAATGATCCTGATTTATCACTGAGGGTTTTGTCTTAGTAACACATGAACACTGGATCACTCAAATTTTATCAAGTGTACTACTGCGAGTCTGCCATTGTTGCGAAGAGCAGATACGGCGACACATCAGGATGGTAATATATTCCTATCTTAGTGGTTGAGTTCTCCATGCAAATAACTCCTTCCAGAAATACATTTGGGAAAATAAAACTGCAGTTCCGTTTGAATTAAAATAGGATAAAACTCTTGTTTTAGTGGACCCTTATCTGAAACAAGTGTGTGCTTTATATTCTACACTGTTGCTTTTCCAGCTTTTAAGTTCTTGTATAACTTCTATTATCAGGTTGTTTCTGCTTATATAAATGGTCTTCTGCTACAAATTAGTGCATAGAAAGTATCAAGTTGGCTGGTACGTTCAATTAAACTTAGGCTGGCATAGAAAGGGAGGAAAAGGTACATAAAATAGTTACCTTCTGGGTATTGCTCCTTTAAATGTTGGGGTGGGGGGGAAATATGTCATTGGTTCAAGGATTTCTGTTGAAGATCACAGCGGCTTCTCTAAAAGATGGTGTTACCGCAGACGTCAGGTGTGTTGGCGATAAGACCTCCAGGTATAGGAGGGCCCACCTCATGTTCTGTCTGAAGAAGCCGCTGTGTATTTTTTATTGGTTACAGATGGCTGCAAAAATAGTGTTTGCACTGCCTCCAACTCACAATTCCTTTTTGGTAGCTGTCCTTGTTACTGAGAAATATCACCATCACCTTTCACGTACGTGAGCGTTAGCTCTAGCTCAGTAATGTTTCTGTGTGGGCCAGGGAAGTTTGTTGTGTTCAGTGCTAAAAATGCATTTGACAAAGCAATAATGCAGTGAAACTAGCACATAAAGAAAGAATGCACTGCTTTTTGTTGTCGAATGCATATGCTTAGCATCTCCTCTATTTTTCTTTGGTTTAAGAGCTTACTGCTTACAGGCAGTATAGTTTGACAAGGGTAGAAAATGGAGGGCTGGGTGATGGCAGTGGCCATTCTGTTGCATATAGCCTGCTCCCCCCTCTGCTCTTTCTGTTTTGTAAACCTGAGATGAAACACATACTCAGTTACTTCTGATTTGGCTGTCTTTGAAGAATAATGTGCCAGGCAGCAAGGATCTGGCAATCTGTCTATCAGCAGCAGTGACTGTAATGTGTATGTCTTCGCAGCTCTGATATAAGCACCTGACATTTTGGATAATTTATTAAATTGTTAAAATTCTCCAAATTTTTAAGAATAGGTAAAGTTGTATAGAAATAGCAACTGTGACAAAAGATGGAGTTATGAAAACATGGGCAAATTAAATGTAGGTAATAAATAGGTCTAAAATTCACTAAAGTACGTGCACCTTCTTCTGAGCAGGGTACTTGTGCACCCCTGCTGTGAGAGCCTAAGGCTCTTCAGTCTTCCCACCTATAGGAGTAGCTTGGTGAGCTATGTGTCTTTTTCCACCAGTTTCTAGAAGAGCTTTGTTTTAAGAAGTGTGTTAAAAAATAATAACAATTTTTTTTTAAAAAAAAAAATATATATAGCCTTGGAATGACACTACATTTCCATGTAGCTTCATTTTTCTAGCTCACAGCTGCATCTGTAAATGTGGGGAGCTTCCAGTACTTTCTGGAAGTCTTGAAAGTAATTTCAAAACATGGTGTTGGCTTCCTGCCCCAATAATTTGAATCAAAGTGCTTTACTATTTCTTTAGAGAAGCATACCAAAAGGTAAGTGCTACATTGCTTGGAAGAAAATGGAGAGCGTTTGGCCAGGTGCTTTTCTGCACTCACCTGTAACTGAATGACAAAAATTATCTCATTTTTAATTTGTTTTTTTTTTTTTCAGGGTGCTGTTTCTTTTATTATAAAGAACCATTTTCTATATTGATTTTGTATTTCTGCTTTTTGGCTGCTTTAGCTTGCCACGGTTGCATGTAGTCATGATGCTAAATTGGAAGCATTTTTGCTAGCAAAAAGTTTCAAGTGGAAGTAATATTGCATCCATCCATGCAGTTGGGTCTTACTCTCTGAATCATTCAAAGGCTGTAACTGGTTCTGCCACAGAGTAAATATGTGACGTTGGTTTTGGTAGTCACGTGTTCCTTCCTCAAAATACCATTTATCCAAGAAGGAGCAGTAGAATTAAAGGTGCCCAAATGCAGTGAGGTGAAGACTCCTGGGACAGCTAGGGCAGCAAAGAACAACCAAGTTCTTTTCTGCTCCACCTCCTATTTTCCCTGGGGCTCTTCAAAATAGCTGAAAAGGGTTGTGATAGGAGGCAGTGGATCCTGTGATCCCCATCCTGCTGACAGCTTGCAGGACTGTGGTGAAGGTTTTGCCGCTCCACGGGGAACACTCTGTGTAGCAAGGCAGGTCCCGGGTGGCTGTGCTGGCAGTCCACAAGGAAGTTTTAAGGCCTGACAAGAGGTCTGTGAGTCTAGACGATCTTAATCTTCAGTGCAAACCTGACGTAAGTCAGAGATCAAGGAAGGCGCATGGTCGAAAATAAAAGGGGTAGGGTGTGAATTGGTTTTTGTAGGTCAGGAGGCAGCATGTGAGAGATGTGGGTGTCTGTGAGCCTCTGGGCGTGATAATGACACCCTCCTGCCCCATGATTTATTTCCAGGGGTCGGGGAGGGGGGTGGGGTTTGTGGTCGTAAAGCAAGACTTTAAGACCGAACAACTGCAAAATTAGATTTATGTTTTTTTTAAAATACTTGTTTAGGAGCTGTCCAGAAGGACTCCTTATAGCTATGTACCATTTAGAGAGAGTGTGTGTGTGTGTGTACATCCCATCTGTAAAGTTAAAAGCTCTTCAGAAACATGCGCTTGCTGTCTCAACTGACAAAACCTAGTTTTTCAATACCTGAATCAAACAGGTATGTCAATGATGGAATTGGTGATGGCAGAATTTAGTTCTTTAAAGTCTCAGTTTGATGCCTTACTTACTGTACCTTGGTAACTTTTCTTTTCTGAGGGGCAGCATGTCTATGTACCAAAGTGGGTTTTTTAAGGTTCTGAAAGAAATTTATGAACCATGGCTGTATGGCTGAATTAACAATTCATGACCATGATGGAATGCAAATCAAAAGTTAAGTCTCATTCATTTAAATATAGCGTAACACTGCCATTTTTGTAGTGGTTTTGATCCATAGTAATTAAAACACTTGACAAGAGAGTTCAGTTTAGCACCGGTGCTAGTTCAGAGACGTGGGGAGCTGTGACAGAATGATGCACTCAGGATCGCTAAGCTGATTGCTGACAGAGGCAGTAAAGAACTTGGGATTCCCAGCCTACAACATTGGACTTTGCTCCATTTGTCTTATGTTTGCCCAAATATTGTTAGAGCTTAATCGCATTCAAGATTACTTTAAACAAGATTTTCAGTCCTAGTTTGGGGTTGGATTGCACAGATTATTTTGCTGATGGCAAAAATAACCAATAGCTAGTGTAGTGCGTTTTCACCTTTATTTTTTCACAAAAGGCTTATCTTTCAAGAAAAACATGTCAGCATTTAGTCTGAGATGCTTCCTTCAACTTGAGTCCATATGATTGCCTTTAAAGGAGACTGGAGTTGGGATCTGTGATTGTTTTAAAAATGTTAAAAATTTTATCTGGTTGTTTTTCTTATAGATTTTTCTCATTTAAGATGTTACAAGACAAATTTGTGTGGTTGAACCACAAATATGTGGATTGCTTTTAAAAATGTGGCTGTGTCTTTGCCAGGACTACTCATGAGCATCTCCCAAACAGATTAACTTCATAGAAAATTCCAATTTTCTTTATTTAAGAGCACAGGTCCACTTTGAAGAGGTAATTGTGTACAGAACTTCCATGTGGTGGGAAGCCTCTGCCGCGTTCTGGCCCCCATAGGACCCACCGTGATGCTTCTGGATGAATGGCATAATGGCTCGTTGTTGTAGTGTAGTATGACGCCAAGCAAAGTAGATAGTTGTTAAGGAAATTAAGAACCCTCATTAACCATTAAGTTAGTTATAAATAGCCTAGTGAACAGTTTCCTTGTTAAATATTTACATGTTTGAGTGTCTTGAGTTGGACAACATGAACATACTGCACATCCTGATATAGCAGGAGCACGACATCACCCTAAAATAAAACTTTAGAGAAACAATTAAGGCATTAGTGATAACAGAGCTGACATTTCTTTAAAAATAATAATAATTAGAAGTTAGCAAAACTGCAGTGTTCTATGCTATCATGATTGTCCTGTGTATTCTTAAATAAAGGATCACTCATTTTCTCCGGCTTTAGGACAAGTGGGCATTGAAAAATTGTGAATGGTGATTTTAATCAGCAGCAGGAACTGAACTGTAGATCTGTTGAAAAAGAAACTGTGATTTTCATGATGACTTTTCTGAGCAGAAGTACTGTTCCCTTTGCTTTTAAGAAATCCATGCATCTAATCTTTCCATTTACTCTTGAAAGCTACACCTCCTGTTGATTCCATTTAGGAATTTAAAAAAATAAGATTTGGGGGGATGTTTTGATGCTTCCTCAGAGTTCCTAAAGCAGGCTGAATACAATTTTGGTTTTATTCTTTTTTTTTTTCCCCCCACAAGCTCCAAAGACTTTAATTTATCTGAAAATTATGCTTCCTCCATGACTGTACTAAATTACTTCCACAAGGCTTGTTTTTACTTAATAGCTTTAAATGAAAAGTGTATAGCTCCTTGCTATGATACACCAGTACTTAACTTGCAGCTGTGATTTGTCTTACAAAACTTTGAAATAACAAATAATTTTAAGTAAAGATTTCGTTTGGATGGCTGCATCACAGCTGCAAAGGAAGCTATGGTTTACTGGACATAATGGTTTTAAAAAAATTAAACGTAAGAGTTTTCTGAAGACAAACTGCAAGACTTTCTCTGATACCAGTGGTAGAGATGGTAGCGTTGAACTCCGAAGATGCTAGAGAGAGCAGGAACAAGAAAACATGGGTGATGACAACCTATTTTTCCTTCCCTCTGTACATTTTTTTTCTCCCCTGTATGCTTAATGCCTTTTTAAGGAAACAGTTTTTGATATACAAATTGTCATGCTATTCCATTGGCCTTTCTATAGACTTAATGTTAGGCTTGATTTTTTCCAGTGAACAAGTTAAACTCTGTAACTCTTAGTTTTCTGTGTTTTGTTTTTAAAAAAAAAAAAAAAAAAAAAAAAAAGTGATCTCAAGTAGTGTCCCCTGGACGTCATGAATCTTACTGCAGCTTTAAACTACTGATCAATAAACACTCCAGAACACTGTCTTTGGTCTTAAAACAGTGTTTTTGTTACTGAATGCTTTTAATTCATCATGCTTTGGGGGCTTTTTAAATACAGACAGGAAGAGTTGCTCGCTAATTAGAGCAGTCAAATAGTATTTGGATGATTAATAGCTTTGGTATTCTCTGAATAGTTTTTATGGCATTTGGCAAATATTTTATGAATACCAGTGAACCTTAGCTGTCAGATGCAGTTGGACTTCTTTATAACCAGATTTTTTTCCAATTCATTCTTAATTTCTGGAGCATTCAAAGTACTAGTGCTCTGAGAGAAGTTATTTTGAGAAGATAAAGATGTCTAAGAAAACTGGAGAGCCTCTCTTTAGATGACTGCTTTTTATATTACATAATTTTGAAAGAATAGTTGATTTCAGGTTTTTTTTTACTGTCCTAAAGAGACTGTAGTTATCACCATCCACGTGGTGTCACTGACCAGAACTAAGCACGTTATTGATATTCCTGTTTGTTGCTGGATACTAGTATGGAAATGGATAAAAATGTTGTATAACTAAATACATGTTTCTAATTAGAAGTACCTTGGCAGGAAATAGTCTTAATAAAAACAGAGATGAAAAAGCAAATTCAGGATATTTGTAGAGCTCTGTGCTGAAGACCATGTACTCGGGAATCAGAGTTCACTGGGGTGAGGAAGAGGAGGAAACGGGGAGGTTATTCAGCAGAATTAAAAACCAAATTATAAACCCTGTGGGAGTAAGACCATGAGCTTCAGCCTTGTTTTTTAAGGAAAAGTCAACAGTGGTTCTGAGTACTGGTATTCTTGGACCTCAGTGCAAATTTCAGTTTCTTCTAATTACAGAGAAAAGGAGGAAAGATGTGTATTTTTTAATGGAAATGGGAAATTGCTGTTAGTTATGTCTCTCTGAAAGTATTTTTGTGGATGCAGGGACTTACGTGGCTGATTTTGCCCCTTGCTCTCCCCCTCCTATTCCAAGTAAAGTACTGCTGTAGCATTCCTGTGTCTGACCTCCTTGTCTCGTGAGGATTAGTCCTGTTGGCCAGGAAACAGCATTAACAGATCACGCATTTCTTAAATTTTATGTCACGTTAGTAGATCTACTTTAAAATTGTAAGCCCTAAATAACTGGTATTTAAATAAGAGCGCTGGCCTCTTTCGTGAGGATGTTTGCAATTTCCTGACGTAAAATCCCTTTGCCAGCAGGCCATGGAGCAAGCAGGCAGTCAGAAAAGAAGCGTTCTTAACAGAAATCTTGTTTAGTACTAGTGCTTCAAGGCGAGAGCCTGAAAACAAATGAGGCTCTGCAGTGAGTGGCTCACGTCCTCAAAACCAAAAATGTTAGGACCCACCTGCTCTGATAGAGGAATTTTCTGCAGTGGGACCCATTCCCCCACACACATTATAGCCCAAGTGTTTTATGGAAAACAAGAAGAGAGAATACATGAGCCGATGGAAAAGCCAAAAGTTTTTTTCAGTTTGAACCGTTATTTGAAACAAAACCAAAGTTGTGAAATGGACTCTTTTCCTGATGACTTCTCAGACAAAGGCAGCATTGACACACACCGAAATGCCAGGAGCAGAATTCATGCCGTCTGAGTGCACTCTAACGCTAGATCCATAATCGCTTGTTCTGCTTGGCAGTTTTTACAAGCAGCCATTTGTTAGAAAAATAGACTTCATTAGTGATTTTTCAGCTCAGAGTGCCCTTGCACAGTGTTCGTCTGATAGAACGTGCAGAAGCTGAGCTTCTCTCTCCTGGCTGTAGCACTTTGCATTTCACAGGTGGTGACTTGACTGAACAATGAAAATATCTAATTTTCACTTCTTGTTTGGTTGGTTTCACTTGCCGTAATTTATTTGTGTTTTTTTTTTCCCCCCTGTAGGTTTGCATCCAGTGGTGTTGCAACACAATTTATTTCCTTTTCATTTAAAAAAAAAAAAAAAAAAATATAAAACTTGTGGGTTTTTTAACCCAGATTCATCTTTCCCAGAGTAGGTGTGTAAGTCAAAAGCGTTGTTTTATGTGAGTGCCTAAACATTAGATGAGGTAAATTTGGGCCTGCGGGCCTAAACCACAGGCAGTGTGGTCCTCAGTATTGCTGGCGCTGGAATGCTGTGTGGAGCGAGGCTCTCCATAGACACCTACTGTCTTTCCACCTTCACTAAATTGATTATAAGAATGGCCCTACGACACTTACTTTTAGTGATTATTTCTGGATAGAATAGAAGTTGGAGGCCAGTCTGTTGTACAGTTGTGAGGCACTCTCTCCTCCGTGTTATATTCAGCTAGATGTGCTCCCGGAGAAAGTTAGGGAGGTTACTTGGGAGCAGCACCAGGAATTTCAATCGCAGTACTTAAGACATAAAGTTCTAAAAAACAGGTATTTCTGTTCACGGATCTGGCTTAAGATAGTGACACAACTGCCAGTTTTTAGATAAAGAATGGCACTTATAAAATTTCTGATGGATTTATTGAAAATGTCTTTTGACGGAGTAAGGGGTATTATTAAGGGCTTTCTGTGCCCTACCTTGTGTTACTTTATCTTCTTTATTGAGAAAAAAAAATGGGCTGGAGGCATTCTGCACTGCAGACACAAATAAGTAACCTCAGTTTTGTGATTGTGATTCCCCCTCCCCTTTTCCTTTGCCTGGTGTCAGGGCTTTTCTGTTGCACAGTATAAGCTCCTCACCAGAGATTAGGCCTTTTGTTTTTTGTTTTGTAGGGAGGGGAAAAAAAAGCAAACCCTGCACAAACATTTTAATTCTCTGTGACATATTAAACTAGAGGAATTGCATTATCATGGCTAGTTGGTAGCAGCAAGCTGTTTTGCCACCAAATTTATTTAGGCTGAACAGTCTTTCAGCAGCAAGAGATGAAAGCTCAGTGAGTTTATTTTATGCTGGAACATTTTGTACGTTCTTGTCCGATGCAGAAGAGAAATCTTATAGGGACCTGTACTTCTTTATATAGCACTTCTGAAAGTCTCAGAATGGTTTATAAATGCTGAATCAAGCGTGAGGCAGGCAATGCCATAATACCCACATTTTACAAATGGGGATAATCATCATTCAGGAAGGTTAGCTGCACAAGACCGCGTTAGCACCATTAGCAAAAGGAGAAATAATGAGTCATAGCCCTGAGTTCCTTGCGCTTATCTTCTGTATTATGGGTTTCAGGCACTTCAGCCTGTTTGGCTATAAGAGCAGAGAGGTTATAAAGTACACATTGGTTAAATAATGTCATTAACCCTGTTACGTCTACTAGATTTCTCACCGTACTTACAATCCGTGCTCATATGTCAATGCATTGATTGGCATTTTAAATTGAGTTGTACTGGGCCAAATTTCTGTTAAATACAATTATAAAACTGTGTAACATGAAGTTAATATGATTAGGTAATGACATTCAGCATGAAATTGTTCTTAATAAAAGGTGTTTGAATTTGAACTCGTACATTTGTTCAATCGATTTTAAGATCTTGGTCTTTTTATATAGGCAAGCTTTTGTCATAGAGTTGTAGGCAAGATATTTAAGAATATCGAGTTAGCTCAGAATGAACTATGCCAACACGTTGGGTCATGCTTTTGACTTGGGTCCAGTCAACAGCATACTTTAGAGAAATGTTTTGTGTACTGCTTTACAATCTGGATCTTCGGTCAGCATTGCCCAACTGCTTGGTCTTTTCAACAGCGCTATGAGCCATTTAAGGGAGCATCTGATTTTGAAATTGGAAAAGAACTGTCTGTGTGAAAATCATCTCATGTCCTTTTCTTTTTTAAGGAAGTTGCTATGCAGCACTATTAGTAAATACATAAATTTTCTTACCTGCATGGTCTTTCAGAAGTGCTGTGTAGAAGTTAAGATACAATACAAAACCTTTCTATTTACCTTTCTTGTTGTTACTTGATTATTCCCAATACTTCAGTGATAACAGTAATAGAGCACTTCATATGCAAAACCCTTGGGGTAGAGATTTGCAAACTTCTGGTGTTTGTTGCCAACTTTATTTTTTACAACACGTTCTCACTCTTTGCTGGGAGTACCAGCCCACATCTGAGTCTGTGCCAGTCCTTTTCCATTTTGTGCTGTAGGGCAGCTTTCTAACATAATCAAACTTAGGCTTTTCATTTGGTTTATTGCAAAGATTTACCTTTCATTTGGCTTCTCGGTGTACCACTTGAAGGCACTCCCCTTTTCTAATATTAACACTTTGTCAGACAGACTTTCATGAAAGGTTAGGGTTATTATGAACTATGGATCATATTTATTTAAAATAGACAATGTGACCTTGACCTGAAACATTCACAGAGTTTGGACAAGTTGGCAAAGAACTTCCTTGTTGGGAGAGGGGTTATATTACTGCCTGTAGGAAGCTTGTTGGCTCTAATATTTTCTTAGTTTGTACTCTTCACCTTGTTACCAGTTTCATCTAAAGCATTCTGTTGTGTGGTAGCATAACATAGGGGAATGTTATGCTAATAACATGATAGTGTATGATAGGATAACATATTAGGGAATGATTAGTGCATCTGCTGTACTTGTATATAGGTATATACAATTTTTAAAAGGTAGTTTTATGACAGGGTCATTGGTGGTGGAGGTTGGGTTGTGCTGTAGTAGGGGGGACAATACTCAGGCTGGGAGCTTGGAAAGAAGGTGCCCTTGTGTTGTCTGCAAGGTCGGAGAGGTGTTTTTGGTACAGACAGATATAGACCTCTGGGGAAAAAGCTTAACAAATACAGCGTGGAAAAAAGATTCTTGGGGCTTTTCAAGTGGGAGATGCATAATGGATAGGAGATATCCCAAGAGCACCACTGTTTCCAAAATAATATTGTGAGTAAAGAGGGTACCTCACCTTGCATCTGAAACATGACTATTCTCATGCTATATATTCCTCATCTGTGGAATTTCTGTAATGCAACTTGAAACCAGTTAATAGTAATGATCAGTTACAATATTGGTTGATGCACTTTTTTGCCTTTTTGTACCCCTTTTGTGCTTGCCTCTGACAATTACTTGCATGCAGTGTTTTCTTTGTTTCTGGTTTGGTGCTTAAGCCCTTAGCGTGAGACCTAGCTAGACTGTAAAATCCTTCAGCAGCTTGCTTATGCTTGTGGCGTTTAACCTTTCTGCAGGGGGTTGTGCTGTTTGTTTACAAAATTCCATTTTCTGATTACAAATAGAATATTATTAAGAGAGTCTTCTTTTTACCAATTAGGTCAAAGTCCTAAAATTTTAAGACCTAAACCACATGGTTTAGAGCGAACTGATTCACAAACCATAGGTGACTTTACTACAAGAAGAAAGGGTATGTACTTTAGCACTGTATATATATGGAGCTTTATAAAAATAAGTAAAACAAAATTTAAGAAAACTGTTACTCTAGAATAACTTTAACTCTTGTATGGTCTTTTTACTTCATGGATACATTTTCCTTGCCAAGCAAAAAGTTTCCTATGTAAGGAATTGAAGTCTTTCTGGCTTGAACAGCGCATGGAAACATTTCCTTGACATTAACATGGGTGTTCTGATTAAGTTGTAGCTGTTCATATTTTGGATTTATTTTTGCCTGTTTATTTAGAAGCAAGTATATATGACTCAGCTGGAAGTTACTTGAAATAACTTTTGTTAGGCAATAACCTGAAATTGGAGTTTACTTGAGTCTCCTGCTGTTGGCTAAACACTGAAATAAAGCAAAATACTCATCTTCTGACCGTTTACTAATACAGAAGTTTGTTATGAATCTTAATGAGCATTGCAATTGGTCTGATAGGCTTTATTGAAGGTGCTGAGTTGGTATAGTCACAAGAAGTAAAGGAGATTACGAATAATGTTAAAAACCTCATAGAAGTTTCACTAATCGTTACCTTTGGTTATTAAAGCCCATTGGAACTGGATGAAATATTCCTGCTGTTCTCAGTGGGCTTTGGACAAAGCCCTGACTCCCTCTCTGCTGGAGCAGTACCTTGCCCACCAATTATACCTGCCAGGCCTTTACACAGGACTCGAGCCAAGCTGATGACTTTTGTGTCACTCATGCTTTGGTATCATCTTGCCTATGTCAAGTTCAGTTCTGCCACTCTTATCTCATATGGTACCTTATATCTTGAGATAGATGAGTTGTAGTTCTTCTTTTGAGTCTGTGGTGACGGCTTTTTATGAGCAAGTGAGTTAAAGTGGCAGAATTTACTGTAGTAGGCTTGATACGCTTTGAGTGCGTAATTATGACTTCTTAACAGAGAAAAGGAGAAAACTGTTTGGGATACTATGGGATACTAAAGATTGATATTTATCCAGAAAATTTGAACCAGGAGTCCTTCTCTTCAATATGTGGTAGCTGACTTTTCGATAAACTCAATCTGAAGAGTGAGTATAATGAAAGCATAATGACTACAGTTCTGCTTTTTCCTTGGGAGACAACCACACTGATTAAGCAACTGATTTCTGTCAGTTCCTCATCTGGTCACTTGTGACAGTTCTTACTGCACATGAACTAGTGCTACATGCCTGACATTTGATCTCGGTAAATCTGCTAATAGGCAGAAAACTGATGGGGGGGGCGGTGGTGAGGAGAGGAAGGGGTGCTGTTACAATGACATGGCATTTTGTTTTCTAAAAACAGTTTTAGGGAGGATGAAGTTGGGGTTCAACTGCTGTGACGGCAGTTTGACTGTATGTGATTTTTATTTTTTTTTCTCCCACAAGTCCTATGATAGAATAGATGATACTTTTTTTTGTTTCCCGTAACATTTAGGAGGGGTGAAACATACAAGCTGGAATGAGGGATAATGTGTTTCTCACTAATACTCTATTTGTGCTTCTGTTGTGAAAATGGAATTTGAAAATGGCACCTTTTTTGGAACAATGTTAGCTGTCACTAATGGCACAAACACACCACTGCTCCACTTGGCTGTTGATAAGCACTGAAGCAAGCCAGGCACCTCTTGGAACTGAAGCTGGGTGTTGGCTCATCTCGCACTTTTGCAAACTTAGTCTTTGCTGCAGATTTTGTCCACACTTTGAGCTGTGAAGCCTCACCAGTAAGGGCACATGTATGCAGCGAGGGCAGATTTTGCATAATAATAATAATTGTCCGTGAACCAAGAAAAGTGCCTGGAGTTGGCTCTGCTGAAAGTTTAAGCTGAAACAGTCCATCAACCCTATGCTGGACTTGTCAGTTCAACAAGTCATCGTGGCAGAGTAAAGACAGAACACGATGCTGCCATTTTCAGAGTCTGTTTTCAAAACAGAATTACTATGTACAAGTATATCTTGCAAAATGCTTAAAGTTGGGTGGGTTTTTTTTTTCTAACTGATATTGCTTTTCAGTGTCTGGAAACATTAAAAATACGTTAATGTATCATGGCTTTCTGAGAACTGAACAGTGTCTCCTTTTCCTAACTAGTGTTTACTATTTAAAAAATAGTGTATTTTTTTTTTTACTTGGCCTTTGAAAAGCTATTAAATTTGTTTGTTTAGGAATGTTCTGTGCTTTAAGATTGTCTGTTTCTTATACAGCAAAACCAGCTCCACTAGAAATAAAACCTCTGCCTGAATGGGAAGAATTACAAGCCCCAGTTAGATCCCCTATCACCAGAAGCTTTGCGCGAGAGTAAGTTTCTCAGCTTTTTCTCATTCGAATTGTTTTTGTTGACTGGAGTGTTAATAAATGTGTGTACATCTGTATTACAGTTTTAGCCTGTGTAATACAAATTGAGGTTTCCTTTGGAAGTGTATGTCTATATGTGTGTGTGTATGTATGTATGCACATGTGCATGGAAACGAAATGTGTCCATATGAATTTTTATCTTGTAATATTAAATATAAGGGACTGTGTATAACCAAAGAATGTGACACTAGTAAACTTGAATGAAAATTTCAGCTCTAATATGCTTATTTTTGTTGTTTACCAGGAGGTTTAAGATATTCGAGATGTATTGTTTGTAAAATAATTCCTGGTAATTAGCTCCTCCAGGTTTCCCATGTCTCCCAGACCGGATTCAGTTCATAGCACAACTTCCAGCAGTGACTCACACGACAGTGAAGAGAATTATGTATCCATGAATCCAAATCAGTCCACTGAAGACCCAGTATGTAAAATCTACGTCTTAACTACTCTCTTCCTGTGCAGTCCTTACTTTTAAATCATGCAAACACAAGTCCTTCCACTCAACGTCACTCCCTTTATACTTCTAGATCAAAATAATAATTAAAAAATTTCCGTTGAAAAACGGTAATTTTGGTTAGATTTCACTGAAGAAATTAAAAGCATAATAATATATAAAGAGAATGGTTAGTATACATATCTATTGTACAAAACAGTTCAGCACGTGACTTTTTTTTTTTTTCCTCTTCCCTAGAAACTGTCTCTTCTTGTCTGTAATTGCTTGTCGTGGGCTATGCACCAGTTCAGTATTATGACATCGAGGGAAATAAATTGTCTTAAGGCCTCTGAGATATGCTTAAAAACCTTTATTAAAAGGACATTATCCAAGAAATGTAGAAGGAACAGGGGAAAAAAAGGATTGATATTTGTTGTTTACATTGTATAAAAACTGAGCTACGTGTACTTCTATTAGGCTTCTTTCAAAAAAGAAGATAGGAAAGGTCTTTACGTATTGAATATCTGGGGGGTTTTCCCTGTGGGGGAGAGTTTTGTCAGATAATAATGTTTCATATATTCAGCTTGCAGTATGTGAAGAGCTACTTAGGAAAAGTTAATGATGCGTGCTCTGGGTTTTGTTTGTTTGGGGGGAAAGGAGGGAGAAAAAGAAGAACCAATAATAGTATTTTAAAGTAAAAGAGTAGCAGTAGACCTACGCCTAAACTAAAATGCGGTCCAGAATTACCCCTAAAGCACTGGAGGAAAACCTGTATCTTGAGCTCAGCTTTTTGTTCAGTGTAGTCCAATGCATTCACCACTGGTTTACAGCCTGGGTTCTTAGTAGGGAGTACAGCAGCGTTTTTCATCTTTAAAGCATTATGGAGGGCCTGTCTAGCACCTTTTTTGTTCTGTTCGTCTGTCTGCCTTCTTATATGGCATGTGCTAGCCCATTTCGCTATACCCCGGACTCTCCTCCTCTCGCAGTGCTGCTTGCTTCCCCATCCCCTGCTGCCCTGGGCACCCTCCCCGACCTACTCCAGTCTCCCTCCCCTCCAGCTCACCATCGCTGCCTCTGGATAACTGCCCCTTAGGTGCCCCTGAGCGAGCTGCTCCTGCTGACTTCTCTGCGGCAGCTCTGACTCGGTGCAAGCTCGGCAGCCTGCGGAGCATCCCGGCTGGTGCTTTGTACCGTTGTCTCATCTGCCGGCAGGGCAGGCGCGCTTCCCAGGCGAAGCGCGCTTCAGCAGCGGGGAGCCGGTGGTGTCAAAACTTGGCCCCTCTCTTGCAAGAGGCATTGGTAAGTAATCGGTGACATCCCACTTTACAGCTGCAAGAAACATCCCGTTTGGCACAAAGGTTTAGAGGCGCCTGTGCCCGCAGTCCTCCCCGCAGCAGAATCGCAGTTCAAATTGGGGATTTCTGTTGATTCTTACAATGCCATTTCAGGGGTTTAACCTCAGTCCAAGTCTGTATAATTAATATCACAGCTCAGACGGCCTGTCATTAATATCTTCTGTTTGCTTGCACCGTTCGTTCTTCAAGGTTGTTCTGCAGATTTCCTTTCATTTTCATTTACGTATATGTCAAGTTTCTGTTTTCTAATGCATATGTTCTGCCTGTCTAGTTTGTTTGAAATAACAGATTATTTTTTGTTTAAAGAGTTTTTTATTTATGCTGGAAACATTGATGCAGAACTGATTTTTGTATGTTAAATATTCAGGAATTTGTTTAGAGAATTTAGGCAAGAAAAATGAACTCTGTCTCATTTGTTTGTGTTTGTCCCTGTTACCACTTAATATTTTATGAGTTGGACGATACGGATGTAATGGATAACTTCAATTTAAAAAGCCCAGCCCATTAAGCTTTAACCAATAAAATATTTTGTTTCCCAGAGAACCTGAACGTTTCCAGATATCTCATGGCCTTTGTTTTAAAATATGACAATTACATAGATGTTTTGGAAATTTTTTATTTGTTCCAACTGCATCTTAGAAAGGAGTCCATACTTTTTCATCTTTTTCTGTCATCAGCTTCGAAGCATCTTGTTTGGACGTGTCATACTTCTGTTTTATTTAATACAATCAGCAATATTCTGCTTTTTCTTTCAAGTTGCTGTCAGCCTTACCCTTCCGTCTTTCCTTCTGTCTTCCTCTTCATTTTTTGCTGACTGCTGCCCTCTGTCTTCCTTTTTTTCTTTATCTTTTAGAGAAGAGTCCTTCTATTGTACTGTTCCTATAACACCTGTTAAGAGGGAGGGATCAGGCTGGGAGAGGACAGAGGAGGTGAGGTTGTAAAAGTCTGGGCTAATTGAAATTTAGGTATATACAATGCAACTTCAGTTCAGGCAGCCCTACGCAAATTTGCCAAAGTTTTAATCTTTTGGTCTTATCAATTGAATAATACTTTTTGATTTTCAGCTCAATCATGATGGCTTTTGAATGAAATGTAAAAGTTTCATTTGAAGTTTTGCCACTACTGTAAGGCTGAAATTCTTGTAAGGTATTTAACAGCAATTTAAGGAGATAAAAAAAGTTTGTAATTAAGTAATGCTAAACTTGAGATGTAACAACTTCATTTTAAGAGAACAAACCACGCTCCATTCTTATTTCATGATACGAGAGGGACATAAGGTGGAAGGCACAGATTGGTTTGGTGGCAACCTTAAATTTGGGGGGTTGGTTTTGGGGGTTTTTCCCCCTGTTGGCTTTCAACTCCGTCCCAGTTTTGACTTAGAATATATGCCCTTGTTATACAATGTCAATAAAATTTGCATGGTTTTAGCTGATTGCAAGAGCTCTCAGTCAGTTCTTTAACCTTTAATATTTTGGCAGTTTATAGTAAGTGTATTTCATAATGTGGACTGTTAGCATGTACATTTGTAGCTGAAGTTATTTATATTATAATTTCAGAATTTGTTCGGAAGCAACAGTCTTGATGGAGGAAGCAGCCCTATGGTAAAACCTAAAGGAGATAAACAAGTAGAGTATTTAGATCTGGACCTAGATTCGGGAAAATCTACCCCACCTCGTAAGGTAAGCACCTCATCGACTCTTGCATTTCTGCCATCAGGAGTTTAAAATTTCTTCACAAGTAGTTGCTGGGAAAGAGGGGAGCCTCCAGCAAGATCATCTTCACTAGTTTGTCAAATGGTCAGTCGGAGAGCCTATGTTGGACCTTCAGAGAAACATGTGCTTGTTCTACATCTGTTTTGGACATCTGCTTACCTTTTGTTGTTAATTTATTTTAACATATGTTTTTCACCCTCCCTTGCCTTTCCCAGAAAAAGAGCAGTGGTTCAGGCAGCAGCGTGGCAGATGAAAGAGTTGATTACGTTGTGGTTGACCAGCAGAAAACACTAGCACTGAAGAGCACTCGAGAGGCATGGACTGATGGGAGACAGTCTACAGAATCTGAAACGCCTACGAAAAGCGTGAAATGAAAATACTGCTTTTGCTGCAAAGAACAGAAAAGAGTGAATTTTGAAGAATTACAGAACCACAGTGGCAGTGTTGTTCGACTGTACAGTACCTGATTCACTGGTGTGTGAATAGGTTCTTGACCGAATAGGATGGAAGGGAATGGACACTTCGAATACATCGACGGAATTTTAAGATCGTAGATTGGGCTCTGTGGTCTCTGGAAAAATTGCAACCTGTAAATAACATGTAAAATAGTATCGCTTAGCTTTCAGAAAACCTTTTGTTCTGTAGTTAACACATTTGTAGTATTACTATGTTTATGCACTTTTTCAGTTACCACGTTGGTTCAGGTATTCCCAGTTAGCATACCTTAATGCCTAATTTCATCTGGAGATTTTTTTTGTTTTTCCTTACACTACTATTCCTTACAATTTTAGGTTAATTAAGCTACATGTAGATATGGAAATTAATATTTGAACTTCATTTTAACAACTTAAAATTGATTTTGCAGAAATACTTTCACAATTGAATAATCTACTTGAAATGCCAAGAGACGGCCGTTAGTTACATACTTGTTTATATTTAATACACGCAAGATTATGTGGAAGTCTACAGGTTACCTTCCTAACAAAAATTGCTGTGAGTTAATAATAATGAACTGTACTGGGTTTAGACCTACAATCCTGGCTTCTATGTTAGTTGTTAGTGGTGGAACTTCTATTGTATTTTATTAATGACAGTGTTCTGTGTTCAATGGGTGAAGATTCTGCAGGGTGGGATCTTACACTTTTAAAGACTGAGTAATTAAATATCAAGTAAGCCTGCAAACCACTGATGGCATGCAGTAATATTGTGATCTCACACTTATTAACATGAAATAACCTTTATATTATTTACAGAAGGTAGAGTATATAAATCAGGTACGTACCAAGCACTATTGTGCTAACATACTGATCAGGTTTAGACAATGAGCTTTAGTTTTGTACTATTTAGAAGTTCTAATGTCAGTTTTCAGTTCAAGATTAATGGGACAGTTTGACATTCACTGTTTGTAGTACTAGCAAAATACTGTGATTTTGAATTAGACATTAATTCAAATGGAAATACTATGTTTTGACACCATAGTGCCCTTCTTATGATCTCTATTTTACTTTAACCTCCTGCTTGGCCTTATATTTAAATCCCTATGCAACTGATATTTTATATCTCTGTTTTTAAAAATTAGATAATATACTTAAATGATCCCCTTGTAAACCACTTGTTGCTCTTTCCTGGTACAGGATTTTAAGCTCTGTATACTGTGATCCTTTATTTTACTATGCCAGTTCCAAATAATAATCTGCCTTGGTTTAGAAATATTTTTGTTATTTGGAAGAAGATAGAGTTCTTTTAAATACGTGACTGAGTTAGGTCTAGATAGAAAACTTACTAACACTTTTTTTTTTTTTTTTTTTTACACAAACACCCTCAAGTAAGTGGTTGGTTTTATTTTCCCACCCAATTGTTTTATTTTGTCCAGATCATTTAAAAGTCGAGCATAGAGCTGTATTGTTTTCTGGCATGTTGGCCTTAGTACTGTGCCTAATCTACCATCGGTTGTTTCTCTCCCCTCACAGCCACAATCTACAGTATGTAAATTATCTTATTCTTAACAAAGGTTGTTTTTAAATTAGTAATATTTTGATGCTTTGAATGTTCATTTTAAGAAAAGAAACTAAACACAATGCATTTTGAGGTGAATTTTAAATAAATCGAGTTGTTCAGTTTTGATGTGTAACTCTGTCCTGTGAAACAGCAAACCCATGTTAATGCATCTATGAAGGTGCCTCGATACCAACCATACTTTTTCAAAATTGTAGATTACTTCTTAGAACCTCTCAAAAAAAATGCACAGCTAAAACAATTTTCAAAACGTATGTCTGATTTAAAACCCTGCACCAAGCAGCTAAATAATCTGAATTCCCAGTGTTTTGGGAGCCAGAAGAAGTGATGTGAGCCAGGGGACCTTGATGGCTCAATCAAAAGGAGCTCAGATCCGTAAAGATTGTGGAGCTATAGCTCAACTCTGCTTTGACACTCTTCCTATCCAGTAATAAACTCTTCTTCACTGATGCTACAGTTGAAGCACCCATAGGCATGGCGAGTACTTGGTAACTAATGTAATGGTAGTTTTGTTTTAGGACACTGGCTTTAGGCATTTTATCAGTGCAGTGACGGTGGTCTATCTTCACTGCTGAGGTGCCTGTAATTCGTTAACAGATGTGGTTGGATAATCACTTTGCTCTTTATCCTACATAATTGTTTTGGCGCTTGTCATTAGGGAGAAGAATCCGTGCTGTGGACTCCCGCACTCATGTGTGCACCCAAGGAGTAAGATGATCTTGGAATATTTCTAACTCATGTTTCTTTATTCCCTCAATAGATGCGAGAATTTGAGGGGGAAAGTTTGGAAAGGCTGCTCATTTTTTACCTATCCCTAGCCCATCTGTCCATGAAACATTTTCCAATTATACAACTATGTATTATTTTTAAAACTCTTTGGGTTTTTGTAATCAAGCAGCAATACTTATATATTTGTATCTATGCTATTTTTTTCAGATGTTGTGAGCATCTCTGATAGTGAAGTATAAATGCCTAAAAGAATCTGTTTCCTAAGGTGGCCGCTTGTTGAGCTAGTGATACAAGGTGGTTTTGCTCTAAGTTTGCTGATACCAGTCCTTGGTTTATAGAGTACACTTATTCTTTCTTCATTTTAAATTTGGCAGCATTCACAATGTCAATTGTTACTATGATTGAGAATCCACCCTTAATTTCCAGGCTTTTTGCTTTCCTTTTGTTAAGGAAAACAGCATTTTTCAGCCTGTACCGACAGTATAACACCGTCTGACTAATAGTCTAAAATTTTTTAATCGGATTTCTAAGCAGTTTTCTCCCCCTAATTCCAGTAACGTATTTTCGCTAGTTACTTGTTGTCCAAAGTGAGTTCAGAAGCAGAGCCATGATACTAACTCTGGATGATTCATCTCATTTTCACCGATAAAGCTAGAGTGGGGCTTCATGCTGCAGGTCTGTCTGAACACTTGGATAGTCTAAGGATGTGAATATTAAATTGAAAATGTGAATCCTGAAATTGTAGGTGGTAGCAAGAAAGTGAGACTGATGTTAGCCTTGTGTAACTTTCAGTTACTAGCTTTGTGAGGACACTGGTTAGAGAGATGGGTGATGCTGGTGAAAATTCCAGTAGATATCGGTGCAGAAGTAGTTTGTGAGTGTTGTTCATCAGGTGTTCTTTTTCAAACAGGTAAGTTCATTCTTGTATTACTAAAACAGTATATTACCAGTTGTGGATGTAGTTTTCACTGCTGTATGCGTCATAAACAACAGTAATTTTAAACTGCAAATAGTGTGTAGTAGGTCTTCTACAAATACACAAAATCTTGCTCACAAAACTCAAAAGAAAGTGCCTTGTGCACTAAGATTGACTAAAGATGGCTTGGTATCACTTTGCTATAATATGAACATGTTATCTCATAAGTACTAATGGCCACACTTTCACGCACTGTCACGTAATCACTATTACCTTATAAAGTGTAAGTGCAAAGACACAGCTGTTCTGCTAAAAATTTGTAAAGTGACACTGAAAAAGGTGAAAAGATAAAAACACGATCATTAGTCTTTTTTACTGAGATTTGTATTTATGTAAAAAAAAAAAATTCACAATGCCATTCACATATGGTAGTTGTGACATGGTGCCACACATAGGGCGTACAGACAAATTACAGCCTTGCTGTTTTAATTAAGTAATTTAGAATTCATTGCTCCATGTAGCTAAATAGGGAGTGATGGGCAGCTCTATAGCTTTCACATTGCACTATGAGCTAAGCAAGATTTTTATCACAGTGAAATTTAAGCTTAGCTATTACTGACTGCAGCAGTGAATTTATATATATACATAGAGAGAGAAGTTTTGCAAAACTACTTGGGAAACTTAGCAGCCCTGGAGATGCCTTCCATTCCATCCCTTGCTGTAGTGGTTTGTGTCATGAGAAGCCAAAGCATATTAATTTGCTCAAGAAAAAGGTATTGCCATACAATATCACTGTGCAATTTTAGGAGGCAATAATATCACTTAATTTGTTTGGATATTTTACACCTATAGCTCTTAAGAAGCTGAGCACTATCCACAGGTGAACTTAAATTTGGAGATTATCCTCTGTATTTCTTGCATCTGCTCTTGGTCTCTGTGTATTGTACCAACCACTGCTTCTTAAGGTTCATTTCTTGTTGTCTGTCTTATGACATGAGAATACTAATGTGGTCCATGACCACAAAGAAAGTGCATGTCTGGCAATTAGTGTAATAATTTTTCCACAAAAACATTGTGTTGATTGGGTGTAGATGAACCAAATACCAAACGGTGAGGGGTTTGTTTGGCTTTTTGTTTGAACTGAACAAGCAATTTGGGTGCGGGTCTCAACCTGATGAGGTGCAGAGTGGGACAAAAATAAAAGGTGCTTGAGATGGTTATGAGCAATGTCTCTGACATAAGTTTCCCAGTATATGTTTATGGTTCAGCATCCTTGATGTTAATTTTCAGTAACAAAAGTGGGAGAATAGCAGATATTGGATGCATAACTAGTTGAAAGGCTTTTGGATCTCATTGTTAGATAAACAGAGCTAGACTGCTTTGATGACAGTTGTTTTCTTTTTAGATGATCTTTAAAAGAAAATTCCCATGTTTTATTTGAACGGGACGATCTATGTTTGCTTCAGCTTCTTTATAGGAAACAAGTTAGCTGAAGTGTACAGTTGTGTCATCTGCAGTGTACACGCTTAAGAAACTATAAACATTTTGCTAAAATCAACTTGCAAAAATAATTGTCTCACTCTGATGCCAAATGTAGTAAGCCAGTAGAATTATTTTTCAGTTTCTAAACCACAAGGCATGGGCCAATGCCTTTTACTTCTGTGTTTAAGAACAAAAAGCAAATGTTAATAAGACGTACTAAGTTTGAAATATTTTAGTTTACTATGGTAAAATGGAATAGAAAAAAATCCCATGCAGTTTAGAATATAAAATACAAAGTTGTTAAAATGGAGACTCAAAATTTTCTTGCAGTTGTAAAATCAGCATTTGTAGTAATCATAGTGATTCACCCTTGAAAATTCTTACAGGATCCGTCGTTGTTGCCAAGCCTTTTCCTGGTAAGTTGTATCTGCAATGAAACAGTAGGAAAATGTGTCACGTGAATTTTGAAAAAGGCCAATCCTACTATTACAATAAGATTTCATTAAATGCTGTTTGAGGTTCTTTTTGGCTGGTGCCAGGTGCTAGTGTGTATGCACGTGCGTGGCTTGCACAGGGTACCCAGGCAACTTGATTGAACTTTGGGAGAGGGTGTGGAAATCCAGTCTTCTGAAGATATTTAGAAGGTGTAATACAAAGTAGAACCGGGCGTACTATTACTTTTAGAATAGACTGAGCACTTTTAAGTATGAAATAAAATGCTTTTGATTTGGAAAAATAAAAGGCTGACAGTAGAGCATCTCAATATTTTATTCAAGTTTAGCTGTAGACATTGCAGGAGAGTTGAGCTGTTCTTGAACTAGCTGTAACTAGCTAGTGACTCGCTGTATAACCTAACAGTGCCACTAGATGCCCAAGGAACAACTCTTAAAGCTACAGTTAAAGTATAGATCTCTGTTCTAAAACCCTGTTTATGGAAAATATGTTGGTGTTTGGAAAGCTGATCACTGGTACTGAATGGGAGCAAATACAGCTGGTCAGCTGAAAGTTGCTTTTCCTACATTTTTTTTTTAAATCACATGGCCAGAATTGGAGGAAAGTGTAATTATGACTTATTTTTCCTGAATTCCTACCAGACTTTATATAAGATTTCGTATTTTTATGCTATTCTCAGGGAATATACTTTAGAGGAAGGAACCACTACTTCTTTCTGTGCACTTGACTTGTGCTGTGGATTTACACACTTGTAAACTATGCAGACTAGTTGAAATGTTTGTTTAGGGGTTTTTTTTTAGCTTACCTGATAATGATGAAGGATGCTGGGCTGGGAGTTTTGGAGATGCCTCAGACGGGCCTGCTGGAGTACCTCAGTTTGAGTCTGGAGTTAATTGCATCAAAATGGTGACTCAACCCTCTGCTGAGGTTGTCTTCATAGCAATACATCTAAATCATGGTGTACACATTAATCGTAGTTGAGACCAAAATGTTGAAACAAATGGTGTTCAGAGTTAGGCTCCATAATCTCTAGTTAGGCATGGAGCAGCATTTTTAAACGGCAGTAAGTGTAACGGTTGCAAGTTCCCCAGGCACACAAATCCATTGTAT